TTTTTTTTTAAAAACGAAGCATTAACATGTTAGACTGCAGCCCATAAACACAATCAAGCCTAGAAAAAAAACACTGAACCACCCCTTTAATAAATCTTTATCTGACCAAGATCTTCTGTGCTCTAAGTCACTCACAAATCTTTTGACAGTTCAATAATTTCTATTTGTTTTTCGCAAAACATTGTTTGTTTTGATGCCTTTTGCAAGAAATTGCATTGTTTCATACTTTTCATCTACAGAAAGATCTTTCTTCCTCACCATATCGCATGAGAACTGTGACTTGCTTAATAATGTGGAACAACCTCTTTAAGTAGGGTTTCCATTTACCTAAGAAGACCTGTCCGGTTCATCCCAAACATTGCGACTCTCCTTTAGGATTTCCTCATGGAGACGTTCATCATGTTTAAGGATCTCATTGGGAAGAACGTCTATCCTGCCGACTGGGTCATAATGAACATGATGCAAAATAAGTAAGTAGACATACTCAGTGCTGTTTGCTAACTACTGTTCACTATAACGCAATGTTTCTATTGGTCAGACTGTTTAATCACCAGAGCAGAAACCAGACTGTGTGATCTGTTAACATGATAGTTACTGATAAAATTGGAAGTACTGTTGCTTAATGTTAACTTGTTTGGTTAGGGCAACTTTTTGTCAGCACTGTTTTCTGGAAGTCAAATGGGTTGCCGGGGAGGTTTCATGTTGACTTCTATTGAGCTAATTGAAATGCTGTTCATTCATTTAGCAAGTTTATTTCCTCGCTGAGCTTTGAGTCAGCCTTCTGTGCAGTTTTTCTGTTTTTCGTTTTGCGCTGGAGCAGCATCAGAAATGTGCAGTCGTGTAGAGGGAGCATCGCTTACATTAACTCTCTCTCTCTCCCTTTAACACATGCTGCTGTTGCTTAGAAACAGCAGTCAGAAATGGGCAAGAATGTTTGCGAATTTTTTTTTTTTCCCATCAGTGCAACATCAGTTTGTGCATGTGTCGGGCATGTAGTGTTTCCGTGTGCACCTGTGTGTATTCGCTCTGTTCTCGCTCTATCAGAAGTGTGGCGGCTGCTGAAATGAAAGCCATGAATTATGAATTTGGATGTGTGTGTGTGTGTGTGTCTCTCTCTCTAGTTGTGTTTTGTTTTATTCATGCCTCTCTTCTTAACTCCTCTGCCAAACCGCGTCCAGCGTGACTGTGAAGATGAAGGTTTAGCGAGCTTTCACAGCCAGCAGGAAGTCAGACCTGAGTTTCCTGTCGCAGACTTGGAGAGTTTTCTGAGAGTCCCTGATCTGAGCCAACCGTTTTCTTGTTTCACAGCGTTATTGTCATTTTTTATGTTGAGGCAGGAACAGTGCTGGGCAGTAACTGATTACAAGTAATCTGGATTATGTAATCAGATTCCAAAAAATTAAGTACTTGTAACTGGATTACATTTTAAAATACTTGTAATCAGACTACAGTTACTTTTGTATTGCTTACATGATTAGTCTTTGTCTTTGGAAGGCTTGTGTCTTTCAAACACATTAAAATGCACATATTCACGTTATTTCTTATTTGCATGCAAAGTATGAATTCACAAACTTTTTTTTTTGTCATCCGATCCTCTTTCACCTAATAAAATAACTTGAAGTGCCCCTCAGATTTTAAGCTAATAAGTTAATAACACATTTGCAAGTTCATGATTCTCTGACGTTAATGATCATATGATCTGCAGGTAAACACAATATTTCATCTTTTTTAGTACGTGTTTTATTTTGATTGTTGTTATTTTAAAATGTTTTTAATTTGACATTTTTATGATTTAATTCATTATTAGCTTTTCATTAAACTCACAACCCCCCTGCAGTTTCTTCACTAACCCCAGTTTGGGAAATCTTTAATGTTTAATGGACTTCATTTTGTTAATAACAACAAATGGAATATATTTTAATTCTCTGTTTTTTTATATATCAATATAGTACAACCATTTGTCTCGTTGAGGACATAGCGATGCACTAAAAATCACCAGCCGCATCACTCTTGTGCTTGTGTGAGCAGCACTCTCAGAAAGCCTGTTGATCTGCAGCTCTCTGTGATGAGACATTCTGGTGTTCAAAGAAATAAGATCTTCTCTAAAGTTCAGAGTTATTTTCCCGTCTATCTGTGCCGGTAGTGTAGACATGTGGCAGGATAAAATGTTCGGATTCCTGATGTGTTCTTGTGCTCTGGAGGAACACTGCTGGGATTGTGTGTTGGGGTCTGATTGACGCAGAGGTCGTGCGTCAGGCTTTCATATTGGAATTCATAGAGTCTCAGCAGCCACCTGAGTGCCAGAGCGCTGATGGAAGACCCTCCACCTGCAGGTGCGGGAAAGTGAAGTCAACAGGTGCACGAGACCGCGGGAAAACAGTGTGCAGTCACCCTCTCTGTAACACACTCAGTGGGCATCATAAGTGCTTGTTTGATGTGCCCTACTGCACACTGACTCCATTTTCACACCGACAGCAATGTGACACAGCGACTCGATTCACTGGTGAAAATCAGATTCTTTAATTTCATTTAATTACATTTCAGTATTATTAATGATTTAAATGAACTAATATTTTACAATGTAGATGATAATTGTTCATGTCATACTCTGAGCAGTATAAAATTGTATATTTATTTTTCATCTAATAATTAAATTAAGTTACATTAAATTTTAGATTTTGAAATTTAGTTTTGAAATTGAGTATTAGTTTGATTTAAAATGAATTTCAATTAACTAATATTTTAACATTTTGAATATAATTGTTCATGTTGTATTTGCATACAATGCCTTAAATTGACTCCCTTTTAACACCAACAGGAATGTATTTAATTAAATTTACTTAAAATGTATTTTAATTTAAAATTTAATTTAATTTAACCTTAAATATTAGATGTATTAGATATTAGGTTTTATTAAATATATTAAATTATTCAAATAAATTACATTAGATTAAATTCTAGTTTGATTTAAATTAATTTCAGTTAACTTCAGTTGTTCATGTTGTACCCTATTTGTCTTCAAAGCCTTAAATTGACTCTCTTTTTACACAGAGAAAAATGTGACACAGTAATTCAATTCACAGGCGAAAATATGATTGATTTTTTTTTTTTATTATGGAATAATTTCATAAAAATTAATTAAATTTTAAATGAATTTTAATTAACTAATATTTTAAAATTTAGATTATTATTGTTTATATGCTATATATTGTAATATTGTATGCTGTAACTGATTTTATTCTGGGTGTTTGGATGTTAAATGGCATGTACAAACAATACTGTGAAAATGATTGAAAAATGTGGCACTTTGAATGTTCACACTCTGTGTGTGTTTCTGGGTGGGTGAATCTGTTTTGGTATAGTATCTTGTCATGGTATAAATAACAGGCCTGTACCGTGAACTGCTGGGAATCAGTCTAACGCGCCTGGAATAGTGTTTCTATTTCTTCCAGAATGTGATTAACACCTTCAAGTCACATTCATCACAGAATGCAGGTGATGCTGAATGAAGACATTTGCGCTCAGTTAATGGACAATCCTAGATTAGAGTTCACGTGATGCTGATGTGTTTATGCAGGTGAATTAACACTTATGTTAATAAAGTGGCTGTATGTGTTAGAGAAGAGTCCCATTATTACAAGTGTGATATTGACAACTGTGTGAAACGACAAAATCAACCAGTTGCATAATTAGTGTTAAACTGTGGATTTCAGATTTACGTTGTGAATGTGGATGCGGTTTTCAAGCATTCATGTACATTGCTTTGTTCATGTACATGTAGTGTATAATCAGTTTTCCATTGATCAGTACTTCTACGCATAGTCATTTTTTCTGGCTTGCATAAAATCTAAAGATGGTGCCGTCTTCACACATCACAAGATCTCTCGTTTCCCGTCTGGATTAACTTTGCCGACTCTGAATTAAAAATGAATAAAATCAGTTGATGTTTGAGCTGTCATCTTTGATGTTTTTGATCTGTGTTTCATAAAAGTGTCCCAAATTAGTCTGAAATGTGATTCTGCAAGTTTTAAACATATTTTTATTCCCAAAACTGCCATCTCTCGTTAGGAATGAACCGCACCTGCTGACAGTGTTGTCTTAGCACCCAGTTAATTATAGTAATTATGCAAATCAGGTAATGCCACAGTCACACCCATAAAATTCACTTGATATTCACTGGAATGTGCCAAGACATTTGTATAGTTATATTTTTATATATAACTAACCACATTTCTATGAATATCATGTGAATTTTATAATGTAATGTGAATTATATATTAAAATGTCAAATTTTGTACTACCTTTCAAAAGTTTGGAGTCAATAAGATTTTTTTTTTTTAATAAAGTCCCTAATTCTCACCAGTGCATTTATTTGACAAAAATACAGTAATATTATGAAATGTTATTCTTATTTTTTCTATGTTTTATGTATTTTATTCCTGTGATGGCAAAGCTAATCTTTCAGCAGCCAATTTTGCTGCAAATTAGCTCTGTATGTTTTCCCTCATGGTGAGAGAAAGAAACATTGTAGCTCAGGATTGCTTTTTATTTAAAAAAACTTGCTAGATTAAATCTGGTCCTCTAGAGAGCTGGAGGTGCTTTCGGTGTAAACTGCAGTTTTTATGAGCGTGGTTTTGGTGTAAAAGTTAGCAATGCATTATTAAGAGCACGTCTCTGCCCTGCATAAAGTCTCATAAAGTTTGTGATTTTTCCCTCCAGAGATTGGCTTTTGTGATGTCAGCATTTCATCTGCTTATGAAACGGTTTGGCTGCCTCCTCCTCGTGCTGCCGGAGGACATCATGTCTTTCTGATAGGAGCTGATTCTCACTCTTGTTTCTCAGTCTCTCAGTGTAGTTTGGTGAGCGTGACCTTTCTCGGGCTGAGAGCTGCTCTCCATTCAGCCAGTGTGACTCAATTTACACATGACATTTGTTGTTCACTCGCTGCTTGCTGTTGTTGCAGGCCTCTTGTGATTCAGAATGAACTTTATTTAAAAAAAAAACACAAAAGAAACAAAGGATGCAAAAGGTCCCTTAAGATGCTCCATTCTCTGCATGATTCAGGGTTGACGTGTTTGAATGAATGAATCACATGGTTTGAAGTGTTTTGAATGAGATGTTCCTCATGCCCCTATTGTAAAATCAATAAATAGATCTGGGCTCCATTTCCCAAAAGCATCGTAAGCCGAAGTAGATCGTAGAACCATTGCCACCAGTGGTCTCTACGATCAACCTAGCTTACGATGCTTTTGGGAATCGCAGCCCCGTTTTTTTTTTAAGAATGGAAACTCTTAAAGGTAGTTATGCCATAAAACAGTATTGTAACAGATTTGTCTTGTATAGTTATTGAACCCTTATGTTAATCAGTGTTGTTCTAGTTTTATTTATATAGTGTACTATTATAGTTTTTAATATTTTTATTAGATTTTTTTTTTCATTTTCATTTTACTTACAATTTGAGTAATTTGAT